GCTCGGACTAGTATGTCCCATAACAGGGGTTGTAAAGGAGGGCCTGGGTACATGCATTCATTCACACTGCTTGAAATAGGTTGTGGTTTGGCGCTGGCATCGAAAACCATCCGGGTTTTTGTCGTAATTGCATCTTGTTTGATTACAGGTTTATGCGGCATGTAAAATACCCGTTCCCCAGTTGGCGTGTCAGGGGCTTTCTCTATTATTCCGGCCGCAACTTGGTCAATAATGATCTTTTCGTAATCCTTCCGCAAACACTCATCTTGCTCAAGTTTCTTCTCCACTCGCTTCAAACGTAATCTACTCTGCGTTTCATTTGTCTCACTCAACTGAGTCCCTGGAATCCAAGGAACTTTTACCTCGTATCTCCCGTTTATGTCATGAACAATGTTCTCCTTAAACTCTCTGTGCACATCAAGTTGATCGTTCTCACCCCGATCTTCCACTCCTAGAACATCTAAGCTATAAAGTTGTTGGCTATCCTGATCCTCATGTGAAAACCAACACCCATCACTTGGAAACTCCCCACCATGGATTGTCCACCCGAGTGTAGTACCCTCAACAATGGGATCACCCGGCTCCCCCTTGAAAACTTCTTCTGTCTTAATTCTACAGTACGTACTGTCCCCCAAAATAACATGCATTTGGTACTCATCACTCTGCTTCATGTAGAAACTCTTATCAGCCGCATGTCCGTATTTTGACTTTAAATCACTCAATTTTGGACGTCGAACTGTTGTAAAATCAGACATCTTACTGCCAGTTAACTCTACACTCTCCCTCGTTTTACCATCAAGCGATGTCATGGTTACTTCGAAAATAGGCAAGGACTGTTTTGTAGTCCCACTCAGTGTAACTATCTGGCGTGTTTCATGACGGACTGGGGTCAACTTCAACTTTCTGGCAGCATCACTAGATATGAAATTTCTGCTAGATCCTGAATCTAAGTAAGCCCACAGGGTTGTGCCCTTTATATTAACAGGGATCATTGGTGGAAGTGTTTGTCCTTCGACTGGTGACGTATATCCGGTAAATACAGAATTACCAGTATTATTCTCCTGGTCACAGAGACTAGTGTGATGCCTAGCCCTACATTTAACACAACCTCGACTGCGGCACTTGTTTGCTCTGTGTCCAGCTCGGCCACAGTTAAAACACAACTGGTTTTCTACGAAATACTTTTTTCTTGCTTCTAATGATACAACTGTCTTACAATCATCTCCCCAATGATTTTTCTTACAAAAAATACATACAGGAGTTACTGGCTTACCGGTCTGTACTTCGTTACCACTTCCCTTTGATGTAAACCAAGACCCTTCCTTTCGAGTTTCTCCTGGATCCACCTTGTGTCGACTCAGCCACTTCCGGATTTCATCAATAAGAGCCGCCATGTCCCAATTCTCCCAGTTGTCATCAATTCTTACGAGATCAGGCTTCACTTGCGGTAATTTATTCACTGTCGTCATGACAAACCCTTTCAGCATATCAGCTTCGCTCAGTGTTAACAACGCATCATAGTTCCAACTTAATGCTTCGTAAAATTCTCGAACTTTCATGTAATTGTGTCCCTTGACAACAGGCAGATTAATTATCTCATCTACATGAGCATTTACCACTAATTTAGTCTGTCCGTATTCCTTTTTTAACCTGTCCCACGCTGTTTTATATCCAACCTCTCCAGGTTTTAAATTTGCAATTTTATCTCTAACCTTTTGACATACCATCTCCAACAAATATCCGAATTTCTCCTCGTCTGTGATCGGTTTTCCGTGTACTTGTGTCAAAAATATATTTTCAAAACGTACTCAGTCCGTAGCTGTCCCTTTAAATGGTGTAATTTCCAATTTGGGCAATTTCGCTGTCGTCCCCCGAGCCGATTTCTCTATTTCCATCTTTTCTTGCGTCATACGTAACTCTGCTTCGAGTTTCGCCTCCCATAATTTACGTTCGTGCTCCTCTTGTCTCTCACGAAGTTCCGCCATTCGCCTCTCGTGTAGTTGTTGTCGCTTTTCCTCTAATTCCGTTTGCCGTTGCTCAGATTCTCGCTCTAAATCATCTTGTCTACGTTTGACTTCCCGTGTTAATTTCTCTTTGTCCTCGACCAACGATAAATACTTAGTTCTCACGTCTTTTTTCCACTGTCTCACTGCCCGAGGCGTCGTACCATTGTCAAGTTTTAATTCCTCTGTTTGCGCTATTATGTCCGTTAATTTGTTGATTATTTTTCCAGCTCGTTTGTCCAAAATATCCATCTCTGCATAGTCCCTGTTTTCGATTAATTCGTCTGCTTCCTCCAAGAAATATTTTAGCTTCGAAATCTCTTTGTTTATCTCGTCTTCGAACTTTGTTTTCGTCTTCGTTTATATGAGTTTCTTCGCCACTGTCGTCGCCCATGTTGTCGTTTTATATTAAATCTCACAAGTATCTCACAATATAAGTCGTATTTTGTCGATGTTTTTTCTCGCGATTCCCACAATAAACTCTCGAATAATCCTGGTCACGGCACCACAAATGTACCGAATCGTCTCGATACACTCTATATATATTTGATTAACACACTCAACTCATTGTTTTATATTTTCTTTAATACAAAGAACCAAAACTCTCCTTATTACAAAGACGAACAACTCTCTCCCAAAACCCATGTGCTTCACTTCCGTTTTCCTGGAAAACGAAGCCTACTCTAAAATTCCTAGTATTAGTTCTATCAATTTACTTCCGGTTGCGTAATGTCTACTGTTCGACAAGTCCGTTCACCTTTACACCACGCACAGAAACACATAATAACACCACGCACGTCGACCAAGCAGATAGTACTACCCCAGACAACCTACCCAAGATATGGATAAGACTACCGTTCATTGGCAATTATGGCAGCACCTTGACAAAGACGTTTATGAGTAAAACACGCCGTTTGCTAAAGAGTCCGTGTAAGTAGTTTATATTTTAAACTGGCGAACCACGAACTCGAATTGTTTCCTGTCATGCAAAGACAAGACGCCGGACGAATATAAAAGCTCCATGGTTTATGAATTTTCATGCCCGGGCTGCCGAAGCGTTTATATCGGCAAAACGGACCGCTGTCTCTACACGCGTTTAAAAGAACATAGTACGCGCGAAAACTCAGAGATCAACGCCCACATCAACTCCTGTGAATATTTTCAATACATTAAAACTCTTATGGAACTCTCACCTGACGCATCTAACCCTATAAACACTAATATTACTCAATTAATTTTCAACAACTGTAAAATAATTGACAAGTCTGATCACTGGTCTCTGTTATTGTATAAAGAGTCTCTTGCTATACGGAGGCGAAACCCGGAACTAAACCATGGCGCTAAAGCATCTAAAGAATTGATCATATTTCTATGACATTAAGCTCCGCCTTTCTTCTCTTTATATATAGCTGTATTTGTAATCTCCTGAAGATGACTACAATCTAGACGAAACGTGGATTCAATAAATCAAAACAAAATGTTATTCGGAGTTACTGTTCTTTTGTATTTTATAAAAATACTGAGTGGTTCTCGTAATTATACGATACAAACGTCGCATTGTTTTGACGGTTTTCAGTCGTATTTCCGGTTGGGTTAGCTCACTTCGAGTTCACAGTCGGACAAGAAATGGAAATATATTGATAAAAGATACAGATTTGAAGATACAGGCTTGCAAATAACACTCTAAATAGTGTTTTTGATGGGGATTCGAACAAGACTATTACAAAGACGATTTTATACTTTTGTTCAGACAATTGCGTAATTTGATACAATATGATCATGTTTGACTTCAAAGGCCCAGAAATCGCTACAATGTTGATAATGACTATAACTATACGGAGGAATTAGTTGAATCTTTTATTTCTGAATCGAATGGTGGTATTTCTGTCTTCATAGCATGCACTGAACCGAAGATATGAAAACACAAAGCCATCAACCGCGCGAGGATGAATGAATTGGGATGGGTCGTCATAGAGTAAGGGTGGATTGGCGCGTTATGAATGGTACCAGGCTAAAGCGTAAAGCCTGTTTTAAATTATGTTGATAAAATTTCTAGTTTGCCACGAGATAACGTCGAAATATTGACATAAAAACCCACTCATTCTAACGTCGATTCGACGTGAATATGCATGATTCGGCAACATGAATATAGACACACATCATCAACCATTCTTTGTGAATATAGACGTATGAATGTATGATTGAGTGTGTTTCAGCAAACATATTTTTATATGAAGCAGTCAACACTTACCAAAAATTCCTGGACCAGCTGTATCTAGACAATTCAGAAAATTATTCGTAGAAAACAACAAAAAACTTTGTCTGCACCGACCTTCGACCGCGTCTGTAGAGGAGTATATATTTGATATTTTGCCTGCCAAGGATATGCGCGAGCAACTAATTTTGTATAGTCTAATTAGACTTGTAGTAAAACATGGACTGGACTGATCATTAGTAAAACATGGACTGGACTCATTAGTAAAACATGGACTCGATTAGTAAATCATGGACTCGATTAGTAAAACATGCATGGACTCGATTAGTAAAACATGCATGGACTCGATTAGTAAAACATGGACTCGATTAGTAAAACATGGACTCGATTAGTAAAACATTCCTAAATGTAGTTCCTTGTCTGTTTTTTTTGTAAATTGTAATTTTAATAACATCAACTTTAGTGTACAAGAGATCTCATCGATATTTAACGTAAAGTTTCAAGAAGCATCGACCATTGTAAGTAAATGTGGAATAAATACCAAATTATTTACCGACAGCTAGGTAATGCTATATAGATATAGATGATTTCTTGATTTTTATGTAAACAGAAACACCTTTGCATGCTATTTAACACGTCCACATCGATTTATCCCAGGAGAAACGTAATTTGGACGTGGTTGCGTTGTGTACACTATATTCTTTATAAATATATACTCGATAAAAAGATTCTCCGACAATCGGCATGTTTCCTGCAATACTAATTTACGAATTTTGGATTGATAGTGTCAGACATTCTGACCACCGGCAACCGTTTGCCAATAGTTAAATATGAAGCATTTACATATTTGTTTGCGTGCGAACAACGGCCGATAAATAGATCTGGGGTTGGTTGTATAAATTAAACAAATCTATGAACTATTGACTACAAGCAAACTAATCTTTTCTTTTCTGTCTAGACATAATAACAATGCATAAAACTACTCATTTAGTTGATAAAAATTAAGTTCAAGTACTTACAATACAGTATGTATATTGAGAAGGAATGTTTTTAATTTTTTGCCTATACACCCTTTAAGCCAAACGCCTTTGATACAACCGACCCCTATTCAATTTCGTGTTAGGTTTGTAAGGTGGGGGGGGGGGAGATGGGGTCATCAGGGAAACGTACATAATTAGGAAGTTCCTCGTGGAATAAATCGATACGCGACACTTTCAAAAATATCTTGCCCCTCACAGACTCAAGAGGGGTCTCAAGAAATACGGCAGCTTAAAATATAACACAATGAAAAATTGTTTAAATGTTTCAGGAAAAAATTGGTCTGAATCATTCAGTGGAATAG